CTTTTTCAGACCTAAAAGATAACATAAAAAAGCTAACATATGAGTGAAATGATCTCAACTGATGTACTAAAAACACTTAACAGTTAAGTAAATGGAAATTCAGAAGTCCCTGGAAGATATATTTCAGATCTCTATCAGAAACAAGATTTCTCTAGCATCTTTATTTTTATGCAAGCTGAAGGAAAACTTGAAGGAATATTATTCAAGGTGTTAGGTTTCAGCTTATACTTGTTAACAAGAAAAAAAAAAAAATCTAATTCCCACTATCCATTTGCACTTCTGGGTACAAACTCAGTTAACAAGAGAGCTAAAAGGAAAACCAGTGTCTAACTGAGGTCATTCACTGCAAGAAAAAGGGATTATGCAGCAAAGTCCCTGGAGCCAAGTGGAGATGTCAACAAGCCCCTTGGAAAGTAATTAACAGGGTGCACCTCTCTAATGATCTCTGCTGGATCCTCACATCAGACCAACTTATTCTGCCCAACCTACCACAAGTTTATTGCTCCAATGTTTCAACCCAATTTAAACCCAGGAACTGCCTTGCTTTCCAGCCACCTCAAAATAGAGTGGAACATCTCCAAGCAGGCTACAACTCACGTCAGGACACACACAGAGAGGCTGGTCTTGGCCTAAGCTGCTCCAGGGAGTTAATGAATCCAAGACAGGATTATGGAGCTCACCCAAAGTGACTCTTCCAAGTTGGTGACTCAGCAATAGGCGGTTTTCCCCACCTGAAATAACGATCCCTGAGGGAACCACATGGCCAAATATACAAAAATAGACACCAAATAATGCCATAGCCTGGAAAGCAGCACACAATGTCTGCTTTCTGTAAGACCTGACAAGAATCAGGGTTTAGGGGAAGTGAGCAGAGAAAGAACCAGCTTCTAAAATCTCCTTAACATAAAACATTTGTCCTGGCAGATGAGATGTCAAGGGGGAGGGGGGAGGGATATCAGGAGATAAAAAAGGAGATAAAATATCTCAGCAGAGGGGAAGGAGATGCAGCCTGAAACAAAAGGAAACAAAGTGATCATCTGGTGACAACAGGCAGTCTGATTCCTACTCTGCCAGGTTAAAACTAAGTCAACATCCTCAAACTGTTACCAAAGAGGTTTCATGATGATCAAGAGAATCATTACAGCAAAGGATAAACTAATTCTTTCCTGGAGAGACAGAGATGGAGACCTCCTAACCTCACATCATGATCACCAAAACTGCAATGCAGAACAAAACAACATAAATCCTTGTTTTCATTTTGTTTCTGTACATATTTGACTAGAACTGTACCAGCTATATTATAAAAATAACGGGTAAACACATTGCTCAAGCACTTGCTTCACGATGGAGAGAAAACAACAAAGACCACCCCTTTCATCAGGTTAATTTGCTATCGAAACACCTTTCCTGGTGAAGGGGTCAGGCTCAACTTTAATCTTCTTCCTCTCTCTACAGAATGAACACCCTGTCACAAACACAGGAATGAGTTTGTATCGTGCACTAACATCACAGCAACTCGAGAAAAGCCAGCATTTCCCATCACTATCAAAGAGAAACAGCTCCTAGGAGATCCCCTGTGAGCACTGCTGCTCAATGTTAAGATGTTAGTAAAAAGACTTCACTGTAGATAGGGTATTTTCCCTCTTAGGAACTTTCATTTACATTCCAGTGATTTTGCTTCCATCTTTCTCCTGCTCTCAACTCTAGGAATTCCACACATAAACAGAGAGCAGCTGTCACGTGTAGTCACGGGCACTGCTGTAAACAGAGCCCAGAAAAGCCACAAGCCCAAGTATTTACAATTTAAAAGCAAAATTAAATGAGTCTGATGTGTATTTATGAGCTTTCTTTCAAATAAAAGAGGGACCAGCACATTTTACTACAGAAAAATAAACTGTTTGTGCAAGAGTCTGACTAATATTTTTTCAAAAAGCATAACTTAACACATTTTTCAGTGCTCTAGAAAATTACTGTGGTAAATGAAGTACCTAATTCCTGTGAGACAGGCTTTGCTTTCAGAATTGCTTGTAATACTGGATCCTCCCATGGTCCACCATCTCGAATTATTCGAGTCACCAGTTCCAGGTTCATATTCCTGTATTTATTTAGAAGGTTCTGACATTCCTACATGCAAAAAAGAAAAGGAATTAGGGAGAAGGAAAAGATGTTGTCTACAAATAATTAGGCTATCCAAAAGATACAAACCAAGAAAGCCAACGAGGGGAGCTACAAAGTCTTTCACTGACAGATTTAGACATGTTGGTGCTGGATTTGTGATCTGAATTACAGGAGGAAAATAAATGAATTGAACTACATGAGTCACCAGCCCTCAAGCAACCATTTGTGCTTGTGGTTCCATGCAACGAACTCAACCCTCGAAAATCAGGTAACACAATATATCGAAACCAAAACCCACACTTATGTGGCAAAAAAAAAAAAAAAAAAGGCATATTTTTAACCCCAGATCACTTATCTTATGCAGTTATAAGTAGTCAAACAAAAGTTTGTCACAGTCTATGCAAGAATAGAACAGCTGCATTTGTAATTTGTGCTGACCTCAGGGTTTCACTGAGGCAGAGCTTCAACCTAAAGTAACATTACAAGTTTTATATGAAAGTAGGCAACACTACCTGGATTGAACCTAAAATATCTTTCAAAGGATCTTCGTAGAACTCATCCTTTCCAAAGAACAGCAGCAATTCAAAAAAACTCCTGAAAAACAGAAGGGGTGACAAGTCAAGCTAAAAACATTTTCATTCAAAAAAAGAATGACACTGCAGTTATCCCCTGATTTCATAGAATCATAGAATCATAGAATAGATTGGGTTGGAAAAGACCTCCAAGATCATCAAGTCCAACCCCTGATCCAACTCCAATTACTATATCATTCAAATCAAACTTCAAAATATTTGAAGGTAACACCCAAAAGTACAAAACTAAGCATTATGTTTCAATAAAGCTAATTCAGAAAAGTTAATTTTTTCCTCTGAATGACATTTTCAGAAATACTGTGCATAAAAATATATTCACACAGACAAAATTAAGTTTTCTACAGTAGTAATGGTAAAGGATCATAAAATTTGGGTTCCTTTAGATTATGCTGCAGTAATTTTTTTTCCCAACCAGGGATAAGCTGTGCCAAACACAGACCCAGAAAAATTAAGTTATAAATTCATTGTGTTGGGTGACAGAATTTTTTCCCAGGTTAGGTCCTCAAATCTCAACTCATATATGGAATGAAGAAAAAAAGCACTACCTAAATAAGTCCTTTGTTCTGAAAAAAAAAAAAAAAAAAAAAACATTATCTCATTTCATGTTAAACAAAATTTTGCAGCACATTTGGCTCTGGGGAAAGGTCAGACATGAGTCATGTCAGGATCTGGAAAGCAGCCAAACCAGAACTTAAATAATAAGACAAAACTGGTTATAGCAAGTGATGTGTGCTTGTTTTGAAATCTGCTTTGACTGATTTAATATGAACAGGACCTTGAATAAAAAACCCTGTAAATCAATAGTGAGCAAGTGTAAACTGTAATTTTCCTCTCTACCAGTGCACCTGCTTATCACACTCTTTTCAGACTAATAAAGGAAGCCATCAAAATAGTTCTATTTCCTCATCACCAACCAGTCTCCATTCAGTTAAAATTCAGGCAATTCCAGGTTGGTCCAGTTATCCTAAAACCTGCAGCATTGCACATCCACATTTATATCCATAGCTAGATTTTTCACATCAGTACTTCGGTATTACTGGCACCAGAAGGTTGCCCAAGAACACTTGGCACCAGTATGAAAACCCCTGGGATTAATGACAATACAGGTGCTGCTCCATTTGATATGAATGGCAAGGCTATGAAATATAAGAAATAAAACAGTTGTTACTGTTAAGAGTTTATTGTCTGGTTACCAAGGAAATCTTACTCATGCATGAAAATACAGTCAGGCAGATTTTTTGCTCTCCACGAACTCAGACTTGACATACACACGATTTTCAGAAGATATTCCAGTAAGGTTTCCCAGGTAACTGCAGCTACTGAGCCCTGGGATCCCTTTCTATCACATCACATCACATGCAAAAAAAAAAAAAAAATGCCAGTCAGGCAGAGTAAGGAGAAAAAATTCTCTGACATTCTGGAATGGAATTTACTCAGTGAGTAAACCCAAGACAAAGCAGGAACTCAGTTACCAATTCACTTCTCAGTCAGCAGGGAATGTCCAACCTACACACAACAAATACCTGAATTTCCACTTCTTGACCTCCCAAGCTTTCATATTTAAAACTACAGATAAGCACGGTCCGAACTTGGAGGTTTTTTCCCTAGAAACTGGGGGATAAAAAAACCAGCAAGAGAAGTCACCATGGTCTGGCTGTAACTGCTCAGTCATCCTCAGATACCTGAGCACTGCAGGTCTGAAAACTGTGGTCTTGTGATTCCTGAACTATGTCAAATAGTTTCATGAAGGAAACACTTTAACCAGCTGGACAAATAAACCTGATTTACTCAAACCCAACCTGCAATAAATTCAGTGCTTAGGCTTCTGTCTCCATCTGCTGAGAGAAGATCAAGTGCATCTCAGCTTAAGTACATCTAATTCACTTGAATGTTTACTTTTCCTGCTTCTACTCAGGTCTTGAACCCTGAAAAGCAAGGGTTTAGAACAAGAGATAAATGGGACTTGGACTTATTTACTTATCATTATCCTGACACTTTCAGCGTGGGAAAAAATCACCAATGCATCAAAAAAAATGGAATTAGAGCGAAATTTAAGGCATAACATTCTCCAGGTTTTCAAGCTGAATGTGACTGTGGGCCAGTTAACTGTAAAACAAGTAATGCCCATATGCATTTTGATGACTCAAACACGAAAATCCATTTTGAAATAACTGACTTATTTCTTAAGGGAAATTATCTAAAGAAATACTTGGCTGGAGGTAGAAGAGTAAAAACTTGAGGTAAATTACTACAAAAGGTTGTAACAGCCAAGCTGAATATTCAACAGGGACACAAAATGAGGGAAGTAAACTCTGCGTGGAACTCAGGATACATCTGCTGGTGAAACCACTCTCTTGCAAGCTCTGAGGACACGAGACCCTGCTGCTGTCATGACCTGTGTTGCAAAGGGAACAATCCAAAATGCTGTACTTACAGAGCCAGGCTACTCAACACGTACTGGACGTGCTCACATTCGGCTGGGAAGGACACACAGGCAGAGGTGAAACAACACAGAGCTGTCTGGAGCACCTGGAGCTGAGGCAAAGGAACCTGCCACCTTCCAGCATAGTCCTCGACAACCTAAGGACCAAAACAAGGAAATCAGTATCACAGTGGAAGGCATTCTCTGTAGTTAATACTGTACCTGCTTCTTCTCCCCTCCTTCTTACCCAAAAAGCGTTCAGGTTTTTTGCTGACAAATTCTACTTTCTGTTATTACACACACACACACAAAAATAAATAGAAACTTTATGACCTACATCATAGAAGGCAAACCACAAGGGACCTAAAACTATTCTTTTCAGGCAGGAAATACTTCCTTCTCATGCTGCACCACAGTAGATACTACACTCTGCATTTAAACACAAGCTTTTGTTTTGTGAGGGGATGCAAATGAGAGAGTCTATAACAACATCCAGACATTCTAGTCCAAAAACTTTCCAAGAGGGGAAAGAATAGCCTGCACTCTTCTGATCTTTGGTTCAGCACAAACACAGCAGTCACCCTTCCTTATCTGATCAAGTGAGTAAGTTTGGCTTTTTTATCCATAGGATGGAATTAAGGCTAGTTATGGCTTCATCTACAGTTACAGAACTGCATCACTATTTAGACAGATACATGAAGGGGAAAATAAGATTTTTTTTTTTAATGAGAAAAGTCCTTGGTCATCTAATCAATCTTAGTTTTATTAGTAACAGCAAATTTCTGGTACTGGCTCAATAACCCAGCAGCACCTGATGTTTCCACACAGGTAACCCTACCCTGAGGTCCTGTGCAAGGCCCAGTCCGAGTCTAAAACACAGCACTGAGGTCAGCAGCAAGCACAGCAGCAAAACAAATGTCTGTAAAGGCACCCACCAGTTCTGACAAGGATTGATCACTAACTTTAAGGCTCTGCAACACAAACAGCCACTGCCCCTTGGCTGACATGGGACCCGTAACATTTTCTCCTCCCCAGCAGCAGCTGAGGTGGATTAATATTTTGGAGGTAGATTCTGACTTTTCCACCATTATTTCCATTTATTTTAGTAATTTCTGTTTGAAAATCTGTCAGCTTAATGCAGCAAAAATCTAGGTCAACTGAAGGAGAATTAGCAGACTGGTAGATAAATAGTCTTCCTCTTCAGAAGAGCAGACATATTTTTCAGATGTGTCTCACGCATCTATTAAGAGTTCTCTGAAATAGTTTTAACAAAGCTCTTTGCCCAGAAAACCACGAAAGCCTTGGAAGAAACAAAGTAGACAGAAAGAACAAACATCCTTTAGTGGGGCAAAGGGTCAAACCAAGGTGGAAATAAAAGTTCCCACCATGGTGCTTCACAGTGCTGAGAGGCACAGCAAAAACATATTGATAAACGACTTCCAGCAATAAAAAAATGTTTTGTGGCAATATCAGTTTATTTCCTTGGTAGCCTAAAGTGTTAACTGTAAAGAAGATTTAAAGACAGTGAGTGACTGACCTCAGCACAGACAGCAGTGGTACTTAGGGAACAAAACCAATAAACTGGCCTTCAAACTGACAATCACCACCCAAAAGCAAGGCTGTCTTATTATGTTAGATGTTTTAATGAAAAATCCCCCCAGTGCTCACCACAACGGCCAAGAAAGCAAATTAAACCTTAGAAGAGCGATATAAAACAAAGCATACAATAAAATAAAATAAAAAAAAAAATAATCACATGGTTGTTTCCTACCTACCCATTCCTGCCTCAAGGAATGCAAGAAATGCTAAGCAGCAAAAATAAATGTCACACCTGGATCAGTGCAGCCAACTAGGACACTTGGGATTGTGAAGAAAAGACAGGTGCAAAGGGGAGACCAAAAAAAGGTCAAAAAAAGGATGAAAACAAAGAACAGGAGGTAGTTCCTCACATGGGGTGTAATTATGCTGTGGAGCTCCTTCCTCAAGTGATGCTACGTGAATTTAAAGAGGCTGGAGGAGCTGAAAAAGCTGTTAAAAAGTTCCTAAGTACAGTAAATTAACCAAATTGAAAAACAGTTAAAGAGGGGAAAGCTACTGTATTTGCTCATCCCACCATATATGACATTTTGATAATATTTTGGTCCTAATGTCAGTGCAGGGCCAGTGCAAATAATCAGCATTCAAAAGCAATGCAGCATCTAAATTAATCATCATGCTGATGAGAATAGCCAGACCCTGCAGCCTGGAAAAGGGGTAGCCCAAACTGGTCAGGAAGAACATGAACAGCAAACTTTGCTGTGAATGTGGACACCTTGCTCAGCCCCAGGAAAACAAAACATCAGTCAATTCTGAGCAGACTTGCAACCATCACCAGCAAAGGATGGGAGGGCTGGAGGTGGGTGGAGAAAAAGATAAATTAAGTACAAAATAAACTTCAAACCCCACTCCACACACGTTTTATATGGAAAGGGGAAGGGGGGAATACATTTGTTTTAAGTTCTGTATATTCTATATATACTTCAATGCCTGGTTTTTAAGTCACCTCATGGAGTGACTTTTTCTATAACACAAATCAACTCCTTTTTTTTGTTCAGAATATTCAGTGTGCCACGCTTTAAACCAGAACTGTAAAGGAGAACACAGCTAAAGGTTTACACCAAAAAAGAGCCCCCAAAACAACAACAACAACAACAAAACAACTACCAACTTTGCCATTTCTCCAGGCAAACAAGTTGAAGGGACATGTGCATGTTCACCCTCATGTGGTGAATTATCACCACAGCACTTGAGGAAAATCAGACAGATCGTGCTGCTGGAGTCCTGAATGTTTTACATCGAGTTTATGTTTCTCAGCACATTTCTAACAGACCAACTCCAATATAATGAAGTCACCCAAACACGAAGCAAATAACATTTGTCAAATTAAAGTGGCCTGGTCCTTGTCCAGAAAAATCACAAGGGTGGCAACATTTTTAGGTGACTTTCTGCAACAACTCCCCTTCAAGGACTCTTAGGGTGTGATGTTTAATTATGGTTTTGGGGGGCTTTTTGTTTCCCTTTCCCATTCAGTGCAGACAAAGGCACTGAAAGGCAGGTTTTCTGACACCAAACTTTCTGACAGCACCCCCCAGCTCAGCTCCACCTTTCTCCCACACCAATATACTTCCCCCCCCCTTTTTTTTTTTAAACATGTTTGAATAACTCAGAGCAAAATCCATGACTCAGATTGTGTCCTGTTAAGTACAAAATCAAGACCAGACTTATCAGAAGTTACTAAACACGAAGCTAAAAGGCAGCTCACTCCAAAAATAACAAGGGAGTAATTAAAGACCTGAACTGACAAAAAAAAAGAATTTCCCAGAATGTCATTTTATTAACTGATTAAATATATATTTGAAGTGACTAAATATGCACATATAAAGTTACTGGACTAAATTCCAAAGAGAAATAGCACTGCAAACAACTAGATTTGCAAATGCACACAAGAAACAAATGTTTTATGCAGTGCCAGGCCTGGAGTTGCCACAGCCTTTCCTGTTCCTTCCCACAACACCACCAGAAACTACAAATCCCACCAAAAATTTTAAAGCTTTGCCACCTATTAGGATTTCAAAATTACTCAAAAATTTCTCATGAAATTGAAAAATAAAGGAAGGATTAAACCCACAACAGTTCAATATTTTTGCTTATAGTTTTCAGACAAGGAAAGTTTGTTGGCACATGGTTGTCACTCCTTATAATAAACACGTAACGTCATTTGTTATAATAAACACCTGTAGTGGTTGTCACAGGTCAGGAAGAGGCAAAAAAAGGATTTAAATTGCCAAGCAAACAAGGGGCATGCTTAAAAAGAAAGCATCCTGAAAATTAAAAGCCGTAATTCAAAGCAACACTCGGTCAGAGCAGCTCAGGCACCGAAGTTCAGTTGTAGAAGAGAACTTGAGTAAAACTGCATTTACTCCACACCTGGAAACACCTCAAAAAATAATCACTTAATTTTTTTACTGCCTTTTTAGCCTGTTTAGTGGGTAATGAACATTTTGTTCTCTTTGTGTCCTTACAAATCAGGATTTCATTATCCAAATAAAAGAGTAGAAAAGGCCTGAAGATTTCAGGGTAACATAAAATATTCCTTAACATATAAAAATTTAATTTAAAAAAAAAAAAATTAAGTAATGGCTGTTCACATTCACCTTAAAAACGTGAATTTTTACTGCAATTCACATGTGAATATTACATAAGGAGGAACCAAACATAATCACATTTCTGGCAAAAAGAAAATACATCACCCAGCAACAGCATGACACATCCTATGAGACAAGTTGCTGCCAAAGCTCTACCCTTAAAGCTAAAACGCTTTCCCCCCACCCTTAATCACTGAAATCTCAACCATTTCCTCAGCCTGCTCGAGGCAAGAACAATCCCTCACACTGGGTTTTCAAGGGCCCAGGACATTTAGGTGTTTCAAAAAGACACTTCCTGATTTTTGCACTAAGTTTGCAAAAGCAAGGCTGCAGACACACAGAGCCATCGTTCAACCCACATCTTTCCTTTTAGGTAGAAAAACCTGCAATTCCTTTATAAGTTACAACCCTGATATGTTTGTTTTTTTTTTCCAAGCTTATTTTGATACATTTTAAGAAAAGGTGTTAAAACCTGGAGAAGCAGCAACACCAATAAGTTTCAAAGTGCCCAGTGGGGAAAATTCCAAAGAAGCGAAAGGAGAAAAAATGTTACAAAGATCAAGAAAAGTCTACAATCTATTTGTACATTTGGATAATGTTTCTTTTTTAAATACCAACTCCTTAATCCCACTTGTAAAACAGGGAGAAAATTTCTCAGGGTAAAACTAATAGGACAGAAAGGACAAGAAATATAAAATACATAAAACAGATGGTTAAAAACTACAGATTCTGTCTTCTCAAAGAAAAAAAAACCTCAAAGATATTGAGGAAATCACCTTCCACTACTACTCATGTGAGCAAGATTTTTGTAGCCAAGCTTTAAAATGATGTATGCAGATCACACATGGATCCCAAGGGTCCAAAATGTAATAAAATAAAAGCCTGTCATAACCTACAGCTTTGGGGTGGGTTTGTTTGGAGATGTTTTGGTTTGTTGGGCTTTTTTTTTTTTAATAACATCTAAAACCAACTCCAAGTTATTGACTTGGAGTCCAAAGCAAGAGACAAATACTTTCAAATCTCAAGTATAGGAAAACACTTTATATTTGCATTAAAATTACTGGAAAACACAAGAAGTGTGGAAAGGTACGAACCCTCAAACCAGGAGAACAAACATTCCAAGTTGTACATTTTTCCACCTCCATCGCCACAGGGCTGAGTCACAACACCCCTGCAATTTTGCCTGCTAAAATAAACCCAGGAAACACCATCCTCTCTTGTGTGTTCCTAAATTTGAACTTCTCAGTTTTTAGGTTTATAAGCCCAGGAATTATTTTTTTTTCCAGCAGTGACTCAAGATCCCACCAAGCACTGGAAGCAAATAAGGTGATCTTTATTTCAGGAGGGCTGTGAACTGATGTGTTCATCCCTCATGGCACTACTTTGGTACTTTATCTGAACTCACCTGGCACTTATTTCAGTCACAAAACAACATCCAGCACAGCTCTGCAGCCATGTGGACAACTACAGAAATGCTGGGAGCAACTTGGAATATTCTGATAGGATTTCATATCCTGAATATTTATCGAGCTGGGTCATCAAACTGCACCCACTGCAAGGGCAATGAAGGAAACCACCTCCATTTTCCAGCTCATTAATGAGGTTTGATTTCAAATCAAGTCAATTTGGAAATTCACGCTTCTAATTACAAAAGTAACCCCCCTCCTCACCCCTCAGACCAAAGAGTAACCATTTTCACCACTGGTATTTCAGACACACAGGAAATCTCAAGGAAGAATTTCGAATTCTGCACGTAACAGGAGCTGAAATTCATGGGGCTCTTCCAAATGTTTAGGCTGAGGGGGATTCTTCAGGTACAACCTTTCAAATTGAACTTACAAAGTAGTCACAGGGACCTTGTTCTTTTTTTTCCAAGTGAGTTTGGAACTCCACAAACAAAAAATGCCCCAACAGCACATTTTAGAAAGTACCAGAAACAGCTGGTGAGATGCATAAAGTGGGCACTTGACTCATCTTCCAAGTGTCTCTTTTCAGCTCCAGCCACAGAAATGTTGATTTTTTATTTTATTTTATTTTTTTTTTTTGCTTTCTGCATGTCATCAATCTCAAAGAACAACCCTAAGAAAACATTTTATTGCCTTTTTGCCTCGAAAGAGTCGGGCTGGGATGACTCTGTGTGACCACCGACACCTAACAATACACACATCCCAAAAACACACGTGGCTTTAGAGATGCCACATTCCAACTGATCCTGGATCATGATATTGTATCTTTGTGGGAAATGCTCTGATAATCCTGCCTGCTTTTTTACCTGTTATTTAATCTACCTGAAAGAAGTTGAGCTGCAATACTCCAAACGACTTCAGGACTATGATTAAAGCACAGCCGGTGTGATTAAACGGGATGTTACTCCAAAAATAAAAAATTATCCTTTTGGGTGGTTCAAACCCATCACTAAGCAACTATTTCTACAACAACTCCATTCTGACCAAAAAAAAAAAAAAAATAGGAGGCAGACTGGGACATTGGGAAGTGCCAAATGACTATTAAGACAAGCAAAAGTGCGTTATCAGCGCAGAGAGGAACGAGGTGGGAACGTGCACAACAGCCAGATGTGTCCTGCAGATCTGCACACACAAGTGCAAAAGCACCAGGCTCTGGTAAAACTCTATCTGAAAGAAAAACTGCATTAAAAAGACATCTGGGGAGGTGGACAAATGGATTTAAATCTAAAAAAGCAACACAGTGTTTAAGGGAGATGGTTGGGTTCCCCCCCCCCCACCAATGAAAGTTATGAGAAAGAGGTAACCTAAACTTCATGATATTTTCTGAAGGAAAAAATATATAAATATGTTTCATTCCTCATGGAAGAGGCTGAGGGTCCTGTCAGCCCTCTCTATACAGACCAAAATAATCCCACAATGTCAATCCCAGGAGGGTAGGTTGTTCTCCTTGACAGCAACTTCATTTGCTGTCAAAAAACCCACAAATGTCACCAAGCTCTTCCCAGCAACACACCCCTTAAGATCTTCCATTTACGCAGCTAAAAGCCATCACTACAAACAAGCTCAACCAAAACTCAGGCTATGCTGAGCTGAGCACATGACTGCTGATCACCCCGGGCCAAATTTACACCATCCAAAAAAAAAAAAAAAAAAAAAAAAGCCCCGCAGACAAAGTGCTCGTACATTCATTTCACTGACTGTCGCCAGGATTATTTAAGCTGGGGATTGTTAGAAAGAAAACTTAAAAGAGGAGAGGAGCAGAGCCCTCTTCCACGCTCAGAGCACTGGCTGACCACGTGGAGGGTTCATCAGCTCAAGGCACAACCACAAACATTTGCTCCACAGCTCTCCCTCAAGCACCCAAGTTCTGGGAGATCACCAGAGAGGAGGAACTTCAATAAAAGGAACGGCAACCCCCAAAAAAGCAACCTGTGGACTCGGTGAGCAGCACCCCAGCTCATTAAGCACATAAAACACTTCAAACAGATGTTTCACTGAACGTTAAAGCAGAAACATAATAACGAGCTAGAAACATATTTATTTGAACTGCAGAGAGCAACCGTGGCAGCCAAAAAGGTAATGGACTGAGGCAATTCTATATACAATCCCCTCCGTTGCATCCCATATGAAATAACCTCTATTATACTTCATGCAAAATGACCTCTATTATACCCTCTATAAAATAACGCCTGTTATATTCCCCCGGCCCAACCAGCGCTCCATCAGCAGGTGTCGGTGGGACAAGCACGGGAAAAGCAACCTGTTGTTGTTGCTGCTTGTTACTTTGGGGGTTGCGAGGAGCCCGAGAATCCCGGGGCCCGCACCGTGACAACGCTGCTTTCCGACGAGAGAAAAAAAATAAAAATAATAGTAATAACGATAAAAATAATAATAAACCAGCCTGGCTTGACTCGGGTGCGGGGGCCCCTACCCGGGCCCTCCCGGCCCCGCCAGCCCCACACGTGTCCCCGCGGCCGCCCCCGCCTCTCCCTGCCCCACTCCTAGAGCCGCCTTCCCTCCCCTTCCCTCACCGCTGGAGCCTCCACGCCCCTCCTCAGGCCTCGCCATTCCCCCCGCGCAGGCCCGGCCGTGCCCTCCCCCCCCCCCCCCCCCGCCCTCCGCGCTCCCGGGCGCCGACCTGGCAGAAGCGGCGGCAGTAGTACTGGCTGCGGAGGAGCGCGGGCAGCGCCGGGGGCAGCCCGGGGGCCGCCAGCGCCTCCAGCTCCTCGCTGAGGCGCTCCGACTCCTGGTCGCTCTCGTCTTCCGCCATGGCGGCCCCGCCGCCCCGCGCGTACCGAGCGCGCCGGCCCCGCCCCGCCCCGCCGGAAGGGCCGCCCCTCCCCGTTCCCATTGGTCGAGTTGACTGTCCGTCAGTGCTCGTGGCCCTCTGCGGCCCCGCCTCCGCGCCGCGATTGGCGGGCTGCACTCCACCCATTGGCTGAGGGGCTCGTCAGTCGCGCCTCGCCCCTGCCACGGCGCCCCGCCCCCGCCTCCGCGGATCCCGCCCGCCCCGCTTCTCATTGGGTAAGGGCACCGCCTGTCGGCGCGGGGAGCCAATCGGCGCGCGGCTCGCAGGGCGGTGGGCGGGGCCAAGCTTGTGGGGGTGGCGGAGCGGCGGGGCCGGCCCGGCGGGGCCTCGGCGGGAGCGGCGGCGGCGGGGACGGCGGGTAACGGGGGGGAACGGCGGGGATCGAGGGGGAACGGGGCCCGGCGCGGCGGGGAGGGCGCCAGGCTGCGCGAAACGGGCCGCGGAGCATCCCCGGACAACACCCGGGCCGCACCTGCGCGGCCCGCAGAGAGAGCCAGGTCGGGCCTTCCGCGGAGCGCCGGCCGGGAAGGGGCGGAGGGAGGGAGGGAGGGACCCCGGGCAGCGATCCCTGAGGGATGAGCGCGGCCGGTTCCGGCTCCGGGAAAAACAGACCCACCCGTAATCCCTGCGGGCCCCGGTGAAGCGCGAACACCCGGTTTGCCGGGGGATTTTCTGCCGCCGCTTCAGCAGCCAAAAGCAACAAGTTTGTGCCGGGTCAAGGCTCGCTTTTTTTTTTCGCTTGATTTCACGTTGGACATGATTTGGGCAAAAGCAACGAAAAAGAACGAAGAAAGTTGCGTGGATGCTGGAAAAAAAGATTGTTTATCTTTTCAGTGTGTCTTTATAGGGCTGTACAAGTCAAAAGTTAAAGTCAAGACTTGTAACAGAAAGCAGCAAACAGAGCAAAAAAAAAATTAACTAGGAGAGCTGTTTAATACCAAGATCTTCGTCTCTCTTTCTTCAGAAGGTCGTAATCTCTTCCATGTTGCAATGTGGTTTGGTTTTTTTTATTTTTTTAAAGATAATTTTGAAGACTGAATTATCTATTCCTTCAGTTCCAGGCCAAGCAAAAAATGCAGCAGAAACTCTCTGTCTTTTTTTTAAAAACGTTGCAACAGCAAACTGTGACCAAACAAGTGCAGAGAAAGTGCATCATGCCCATAAGTAAATGGCCAGGCAACCTACTGTATGTCTTTTAAAAAAAATTATATATATATATATATATATATATATAGACACATATACATTTTGGAAAATACTTAAAAAATTCTAACACTTGTCACCTTTTTTTCTGTTCCCATTAGGCTGCCCCTTAATGATTTGCTTTAGGCTCCAAGTTAAGGTTCAGTCTGATAGTTGTGGTTTGAGCTGGAGCAAAAGCCAGGGCTGTTTCCAAGTTTGGGTTTGGTTTCTTTTTGTTTGTTTGTTTGGGAGGGAAAGGGGGAGTAACTGTCTTTTGTGAGTGACAGGAATGGTGTCTTCTTGCCTGCCCTTTGGACAGCTAAATTTCTACTAAATAAATAAATGTTTTTACTAAAGTTCTGCTAACAGAATAAATCCTTTTCAGGAAATAAACAGAAAAATACTCACCCAGCTTAATGAAAACCATCAAATCACTGAAAATACTAAGAAGAAAGCACCCTTTGCCCTAAAGAGTAAAGTACAAAAAAAAAATGTCTTCGAGAAAAGCAGAAAGCTTTTCTGTTTGACTTTAAGTGATGAACAAATTGGGTTTGGAGGGTTGTGACTTTGGAGGGCTGTGAGTTTGAGGGTTCTGAGTTCTGAGCCTTTTAGTTGTAGAAACCAAAAGTCTTTTGAGTGATTAGGAACTTCATTCTCCAATTTCTTTAGATTTTAACATGAAGAACCTTCCTTTCAATAACAATTTCACACACAAGTATCTTCCATATAATTAATAATCTTAGAGATGCCAACAGTGCTGTGCTGGGTGTCGAGCAGACTCCACGCAGGAGTGTTTGGTTGAGATCCTGAGCACGCTCTGACGGCAGTTTGGTGTTTTCCAGCCTTGCCGTGCCGGAGGCAGCGATGGAACGGTTCGGAGTGAAATCCGCCCCGTCCCGTAACCGCTCCAAGACGGCCCTGTACGTGACCCCCCAGGACCGCGTGACCGAGTTCGGGAACGAGCTCCACGAGGACGGGGGGAAGCTCTTCTGCACCTCCTGCAACGTGGTCCTGAACCACGTCCGAAAATCCGCCATCAACGACCACCTCAAGTCCAAAACGCACACCAAGAGGAAGGCGGAGTTCGAGGAGCAGAACGTGCGGAAGAAGCAGAGGACTCTCACCGCCTCCCTGCAGTGCAACAGCGCTGCCCAGACAGAGAAATCCAGCGTCATCCAGGACTTTGTGAAGATGTGCCTGGAGGCCAACATCCCCCTGGAGAAGGCCGACCATCCCTCCGTGAGAGCCTTCCTGTCCCGCCACGTCAAGAACGGCAGCTCCATACCCAAGTCGGAGCAGCTCCGGAAGGCTTATCTGCCCGACGGGTATGATGAGAACCAGCTCATCAACACCGAGGATCGCTGAGGGGGAAAACTGTTGGCGTCAGTGTCGTGAAGTTTTACATATTGATGGTGTGGTTTATTTTTATATTCATGCATATATATATACAGTGTTACATATTGGTTTTACAAGCTATTTTGTATTCTCGTAGAAATGACAATCTGTGCCTGGGCTCAGTGGTGTGGTGCCACAGGTTGTTGCTGACCCTGCTGCTGCGGACTTCAGAACTCCTGCTGAATGTGGGGGACGTTCCTGGTGTGCACCTGATCTCTGCCCAGTCCAGCTGTAACTGATGGCACTTGGATGGAGGACCTGAACAGTGCATCCAAATATCCGTGGAAGGTGGTGTGGTGGGGATTGTTAATGGTGTCAGTGGATTGCTTTGTCCCGGTGTCCTGTCCCTGAGTGAGCCAAGAAGTGGTGCTGCACGTTTGAACTGCAAGAAGCTGTAGGACGGTTGATTAAAATGTAACTGCTCTGCTGGGGGAGGACTGTCGCAACTTTCTACTCGAGTTTGGTTTACCTTTTAAAACAGGAAACCTTTTTTCTTCTGGAATACTCTCTTACTCTGTTTGGTGCAACTGTGGATGCGTCCATCAGCTCGAATAGCCGGTCTCTTGTGTTGCCCTGTGAGCTCCACAACTCTCCCAAGGCTGGGAGATGTGCAGGTTCACTGTGTCTGCATTTCTGAAATCCCTCTTTCATTGTCTCGGTTGTCGCCCCTTCAGCTTCTGTGCCAGTCCTCGAAAGCTGAGTAGATAAACCAGTGACTGAGTGTGGTTTGCAGTGCAGCTGCTGGCAAGTGAAACTTGGGCTGGACCGAGTTCCTAGGAGAGAGGGTTAATGCCTTCTACCAAGGATGCAGAATCTAAATTGGAGCTAGGGGGAGGCCCTAAATTGTGGAGTTGGGAAGGTTTTTTTCACTGTGCACAGGAGAAGAGACTCTTCCATCTTTCCCTGAAAGTCCTCGACATCCCCAGCCTTGTCATCAGCCTTTCAATCCAGGGCAGCGAAGTGATTAAAGTTGTTACCGCAAAGACTGTTCAGTACCCGTAAGCACAAGTAGGAAAGTGTTTATACTTGGAATTTATACTGGAATTACAGACCTGGGCTGTATTTCTTGCTCTGTGCCATGGCCACATCTGTTGGGCTGGCTAAAAGTAAAAAAAAATGGGAAAAGGAAGAATTTCAGTCAGGTTACCCTCTCCAAAATCTAGTTGAGCCAACCAGCCCAGTGGATGCAACTGCTCTGTGAGACACGGGAGAGCACTGTGCAGAGTGCTGGCATACAACTGACCTCTGCCTGCTCCGGATTTCCTGGAGATCCTCTGGGCTCAGGGAGGTGCCAAGCAGCTTCTGTTAGCTCAGAAATCCTCCCACTGAGTGGACACGGTGGGGTAAACATGCTTTAACTCCCTTGGGTGGGGCCAGTTAGCCAGCTTCCTTTCCCCAGCAGAATTTCACCGTGTTTCTTTTATTCCACATATTTCCAGCAACGCTCAGTAATGGCTGAAAAGAGACAAAACAACCTGATTATTTTGCTTCTGCAATTATTTCCCAAGCTGTTCCTAAAGCAGTCTTTTTTTTGCTGGGCTGAGGGAGACTCACATACTTAGCAACAACTGTTTTGGTTTTTTTTTTTTTTTTGTGCACTTAGCTTCTGAAGAAATGCAATTGTGCTAAGAAACCCTCTGGAATAAATGGACAACACCCAAAAAAAGCAGGAGGCTGCCCATCCACGTGCACCAGGACAGGGGTGCTCAGCCCCCCTCCCTTGCTGCCCCTCAGTCCCACCCATCCCCTCAGCTCTGCTGGTTGTTGGTGCCGAGCTCCAACAGACAGAAAACACCAGCAGCAAAATTCTTTAATCTAATCCTAGCTATCAAAATATGCCTTCCAAGATATCATTTGCTTTTGCACAAGCTTGGGTTTAGCTTGAAATCATGAGCTGCCTTGGGCTAAAACTCTTCTGGAAATCTTCTTAGGCCGAGCCTGTTGTGTCCTGACGATAATTGAAAGTGTTCTCTCACAGCTGCTGTGAAACAACATCCTCACTTTAATGCTTCTTCTTTTTTTTTTTTTTTTTTATATAAACCTTATCAATGGAAGCAAATGGAAAACAGTGAAGTGTTGAGAAAACAGGCTTCCGTTGAACAAAAGCACCTGGAGAAAAGAGGGTGATTAAAAGGTGTGATTTTTTGTCCAGTTTTTACTAATGTGGGATTTTTCAGGCTGATTTCGGATAAGATTCCATGTTGTGTGTTTTTTCCTTGACTGACAAACTGACAGACACTTTGAAAAGCTTAATGGTGACATTAAACAGGGTCTTGCACAGCTTAGGAAAAAAAAAATAAATAAATCGAGTTGCTTTTGCAGTTTTACCCAAAAATAAAGAAGTTGGCAACATCAAGAGTTTGGGGTTAAAAAAAGAGAACCAGTCATTCTCAATAAGGCAAAGGAATATTGGAATACTTACTTTCTCAAAAGCCTTTTCTACTTACAGAGCAATCTCTACATCCAGAGATTTACAGAATTAGGGCAATTCTGTGAGTATTTTCATTAATTCTTCTAGCACCAGTTTATTTTTATGCAGCACTAGTTCCTGGTGAGGAACACGATCGGCAGAGCCGCGGACAACCAACTCCTAACAGTTTGGAGCCAAAAGTTGGTCATCAGAACCTTCAGTGGAATCAACTTCATTCCACACAGCACTTTGTAGCACACTGGTGTCTTAGCAAAGGGATGTTTTCATTTTAAAAAGAGCATTTTGCAAGCTTTTGGAAAATCCAGATGCGGATCCATTGCAACAAACGTTAATAACGGAGTGAAGCAATGAGAAATAAAGCACTTCCAGGTAACCTAGAAAGAGGAATGAATAAGTAAGTTTATAATCATGGACATGACCCAAATCATCCAGACTGTTCTACTTCCAGAGAAAATAAGTGTGAGCTGTGGAACAAGAGTCCTGCAAACACTCAAATTTAGAGCATAATTTTTGCCAGCGTGGCTACAGTTGGATAAACTTTTAATTTATAATAACCTTTTAGTTGCTGTTGATCTGAGGGAAGATTTACAGCAGAAGATTTCTGATATATCTGAACTAAACTAATCACTAAATCCTGTGATTGTTTTATCAGTCTCCATGGGAGGGTTCCATTTCTTGTGCAAGAACACTTCATTATTATGTTTCTGGGTATTTCCTGCAAAGAAAAGGACTCTCAGAAGTAAAGGCAGGATGGTCTGCCTGTCACTTTACCTGTGGAGGGACGAGCTGTAAGGGATACTTTTTGCCAGGTGGTTTTATTAATATATTTAAACTCTAAATGTAATATTAAAAAAAAAATATAAATAAAAAGAAGAAATGTTTTCTTCTCTGACCATGTACTGAAATCAGTTTAGCCAACTCACAGCTAAAATAATGAAAATGGAAAAAAAACATGAGCAAGCTTCCAAATTAATATCAGTTTGAAGCCTCTGATTTGGCAGGTCCTTAGGGGAGGTGAAACATCCACCATAATGAAAGGGAAATCTGTTTCTCAAAACTTCTTCTGCGAAGTATGGGATATTTTCATGACAGAAGGGCTATTTTTAGCAATTCTGACCCGAGCAGTGAAATGCTCCCTGGCTTTGCAGCGTAAATGAGCTGGTTTTCAGGAAAAAAAGGAAACAAAAAGCTGGAAGTTTGGCAAGGATAATCTCTATATTTGCATATAAAGAGAGGCAAGACTCGCTGTTGTTGCATTCACATTGTACTCACTGCTACTTAACTCTTCGTGTAATTCGAGTGCTTGTTGTCTTTGTAAAACGATTTTAAGGTTGTGTCTAACTTTCTGAATAAATCTTTTTTTTTTTTTTTTCTAAACAAAGCTTCTCCTTTTTTGTGTGTGTGTGGACAACTCCTGGATGAAAACAGGAGCTGGGAGAACAGGAATTAGGAGCCTTAGGGGCTCTGAAGGGGTTTTGTTGTATTGGTTTGCCTCAAGTGGGTTTTTTTAACCTGCCCTTCTGCTCTCAAATTCAGCGCTGGATTTCAGTGGAATAACTGAGACCTCCCCACCTTACAGTGATCACCCGTGCCAGGGGAGGAGCTGGATGGGACACTAAAATACTGCTGTGAAACCTTCTTCATGCAGGGTTAGGGTAACTCTCAGCAGATTTACCGGAGCCCTCTGTCCAAAGGACGTGTCCCACTTTGTGGTTGGAGACTGATCACCTGCAAACAGCAAAAAAAAAAAAAAAAAACAACCCTAAAAGCCACAGCTTTGGTCTTGTGAGACCTGTGAAAATAGAAGAGCTCACAGGAATGTCTCAAGGAGGTAACACAGTCCCAAAAAAAAACGTGACAAACTCAGATTCTTTGCCGCCTCCAGAAAGATTATGAAGGGAAAACCCTACCAAAGCAAACAAAAACCTCAAAACTGATAATTAAACAGACACAAACCAACAGCCCCAGAGCAACCACTGTCCCGGATGGAGATGCATCAGCAGGGGCAGTGGGATCTCGTTTGCCAAAGCCTTTTTACCCAAGTATAGATGAATTTCCAAGCTATTTACCATTAAAAAAATTATGAAGTAAAATAATCCTCACAACCCGTACACAGTGTGCAGGACAGGGAATCTATGTCCCTTCCTGCCACTCTGACCCATGTCTCCTCTCCCGAAAGGATGACAGCACGGAAAACTTCCCCAAAGCTGCCAAAAAGGGATTGCCCACCTAGAAAGCCGATCTCAAACCACCCCAGAGAACAGGCAAAACCTTATTTAATGAGAAACCTTCAATCTGTACCGATCCAGCCCAAACCACTCTGTCTGATAAAAGTACAGAGCTTAAGTGCAAACTCCTAATGTTACATATTCCTGGCATAAGCTTTGGGTAACTCGACACAGCGCCGGCAGAAACTGCAGCGGCAGGAAAACCCTCCCAAAAAAATCCCGATTTTTCCAAACTAGACACGGGTTCACCACTAGGTGTCTTCGCTCCACGCGAATGCAACCTGTGGTTGGCAGAGTTTGTCTCCACAGGGCAGGCAACGCCGCGAGTGCAGTTAAACGCTCCGTGGGTTTTCCGGTACAAATGTTTGCCCCTTCGGGCTGGATTGTAATTTTCGCGAGGCTTTTTCAG